AATACTTAACTGCATTGTGATCAGAAGAAATACTTAACTGCATTGTGATCAGAAGAAATACTTAACAGTCTTGAAAAGCAGATACTAAAGTCCTTAATAAAATCTTGGCAAACCAAATTCAACAATACATTGAAATGATCATACACCATAACCAAATATGATTTCAGGGATATGAATGGTTCCAAGGATGCAAATCAACTTAATGTAGCACACCATATAAACAAAGAAAATTCATATCTCAGTATATGCAGAAAAAGCATTTCATCAGAGTCAACATTCATTTCTGATAAAAAATATCATTAAAATGAGACTAGAAGGAAAGTACCTCAATGTAATGATCAAATAGGGAGCTTTCAAATAAGATGAGTAATATACTGAAACTTTCTGAGATGAGAATCAGGACAAGAGGCCTGCTCTCATCACTACTATTAAACATAGTATTGGAAGTCTCAGCCAGAGTAATTAGTTAGAAAAAGAAGTAAGGCATATAAATTGGCAAGGATACCGTAAATATGGTCTTATTTACAAATAAGATGATACACGTGGAAAATCCTGAAGGAAAATCCTGAAGGAAAATCCTGAAGGAAAATCCTGAAGGAAAATCCTGAAGGAAAATCCTGAAGATTACTAAAGGCCACCATTGGAAATAAATTCAGGAAAATTTTAGCTTACAAAAGTAATACTAAACATCTGTGTATATAACAAACTAGAAGATAAAGATAAAGATAACAGTGCCATTAACAATTGTTACTACTAAAACAATGTTCTAAACTTGAAAAAAATTCAGTGAGCCATATGTAGATAAACATTTTATTTCACCCATCAAGAGAAGAGTTCCACAAAAGTTAAGAATTTAGGACTTAGAAGTATAAGGTGGGCTTGGAGGAAGGGGCACATGGAGGGAAGATTGTGTGTAAAACATGGAAGACAAGGGATAATGGACATGTTCTGGAATACTTGAAGTCTTATTCAGAGTCACCATTTTCATGTGGTTTTTCCAATACTCAGAATCACAGTGAGTGTCTTTCATCTCATAAATACTCATTTTTTGGTGTCCTTTTAAGTAACGGCTCTTATTAACCTCTAAAAAAGTAGAGGGTTATAAAAACATAAGATGTTTAATACAGTGCCTGGAATATAGCAAATACATAATAGATTAACTATTATTACATTCTTATCTTTTAGTCATCTTTAGGCAGATACCAAGGTGAATTCATCTCTGGTTGTGATTAAGAGATAAAAACAATGAGAAGTGTTCAGACAAGGCTGTGGAATGAGCATATGGAATTCTAATGAAATCTAAGCCAAGAAGACATAAGATTCAAATTTAAACAACCACTTGCAACATATTGGTGCCTCCATATGTACCTTGCATTTTCTTGGAGATCCAAGAGCTAGAAAAGATTTCTGCCTTAAGGAAATTTAAATACAGATGGTGGAGGGAAGAATTAATGGAGGATGGGATGGTCAAGAAGATGAGGAAGGTGAAGGCTTTGTTCTGAGCTTAAAGGTTTCCCAAGAGGCTCATAAGGGACTGATACTTTAAGGATTAACTTTCAGGGATCTTGAGGTTTGACCATTTTTTCTTACATTGACACAATTGATTCTAATAGAGCAAATATGTAGCAACTGCTGATAAGGTAATGACTTAAAGTTTTTGTCATTGTTGCTGATAAGGTAATGACTTAAAGTTTCTGTCATGGTCATAACAAGCTTGATTTTCATTGTCTTGATGGGTCTCAGGATATACTTGGCTACTCATTAACTTAACATATTGTTTATATTATAGAG